AGTTGCCATCTTAAATATGTAGAATTATTTTTCTATATGTTATACTATTTAAAAATTTTCTTCTTGTTTGTAGCTGTCAAAAACTACAATTGTTTTCAATTACCAATTTTACTCTCCTTAAATTTATCAGGTCTATCTTTTTATAAATCTTTTCTTTCCCATATTTTGAATTCATTTTGCTCTTATTTTAAGGATTTCTTTAAAAGACTCTCCTCTATCATTTTCAGACTGATTTTATGTTCCTTTCTGTACCTGCCTTACTGTCTATAAAAAGAAATTCTGTCATTGTTTCAAAACTTAACATGTTCTCTTAGATTCGCCATTGGTGATAAGCATAAGGTGGAAAATGGAGACATGACAAAGAGTAGGAGGAAGAGATACGTTTTCCTTTGAGAAATCTCTGGCATGCATGTCAAAATAGAGGTTCCCATTCTTTGGGAACCAAAGTCCAAAATGAGTATCAAGGCTACAAACAAAGCACTGCTATTTACCTCTTTGCATCTTTAGAGAAACATAAGCAAAGTACAGGGAGAGGCAAAAGGTAGTAATGATGTTATATGCAACTACTTCCATTTTTACAGCACTTCTAGTCATATCATAGAACTGAACTTTTTGCCCCTTTGTGGTGGTTAGGGACATGTCATTAGTTCTGACTTATGCGTTCAGAATGAAAATGTTTTGTGTCACATGACATGACCAAAAAAGAACATTCAGTTATCAATGTGAGATCTTGTACCACTTTCTTGTCTCTCTCATGTAGAAAATAGCAAAGCCTAACAAGCCGGCTGTTCTGTCAGGTTGGGACCTTGAGTGAGGAGGGTAAGCAGAAGCTCCTGAATACCCACAGTACTAGACAGATAGCATGAACCATAAATAAACCTTCATTATTCTGTGCCCCTTGTTTATTTAAAGTATCATAATCTAGTATATTCTGAGTGACACAAAATCTTTACAAAAGAAATTCAAAGACCTTCTCTCTGGAAAAAAAGCACACAATTCAAGAGAAAAGAAAGTGTTCAGAAGGTTATTAGTACCTTCCCATTAATAAACAGTCAAGAAGTGTAAGGACTATGTGATGGCTAACTTTATTAACTTGGCAGGTGTCTTGGGATAAGAATAACTGGTAAATTGGTGGGCTCTGGGTAAAGCATATTGTCTTCCATAATGTTGAAAGCCTGAATAGAATAAAGACTGGCTTCCCTGAGCAACAAGGAATTCTCTAACAGACCAAGTCTCCCATGACACTTAATCTTCATCTTTAGCTCTTCTGCGTGTCCACCTGCCACCCTACCACCACTGGTTCTCTTGGGTCTTGTTATGGTTTGGATGTGAGGTGTTCCCCAAAAGCTCATGTGTGAGAGACAATGCAAGAAGGTTTAGAAGAGAAATGATTGGGTTATGGGAGCCTTAACCAATCACTGAATTAACCCCCTGATGGGATTAACTGAGCAGTGACTGAAGGTGGGGAGGGTGTGGCTGGAGGAAGTGGGTCATTGCAGGTGTACCTTTGGGGTATATATTTTGTATCTGGTAAGTAGAGTCTCTCTCTCTCTCTCTCTCTCTCTCTCTCTCTGCTGCCTGATCAACAAGTGAGCTGCTGCCTTCCACCAGACTCTTCCATCATGATGTCCTGCCTCTTGTTGAGCCCCAAAGAATGGAGCATGCTGTCTATAAATTATAACTGAAACCAGGCTGGAGTTATGGCTCAGTAGTAGAGCACTTTCCCAGCACGTGTGACACACTGGATTTAATCCTCAGCACCACATAAAAACTAAATAAATAAAATAAAGGTATTGTGTCCATCTACAACTAAAGAAAAAAAAAAAGACTGAAACCATGAGCCCCCAAATAAACTTTTCCTCTCAAAAATTGCTCTGGTCAGTATTTTAATCAGCAGTGACAAAGCTGACCAAAACAGGTCTCACACCTGCCAAGCTACACTGAAGATTTGGACTTACCAGATTCTGTAATTACATGACCAGTTCCTTATAAAAATTCAGTGCCCCTTCCCACACACACACACACACAAATCCTACACATTCTATTGGTTCTATTTTTCTGGAGAACCAAAATCATATAGACAAATTCTCTCAAGGTGTATAGTAAACGTAGAAACACTCAGAGAGGATTCTTGTATTTTCATAATTGAAGCACATGTTCCTATTATTTCTCTTCTTGCCTTAACTAAAGGATATCTTCTTTTTTAAAAATAAATTGACAAAAAATGCATATTTATTTATTGTATACAACATGATATTCTGAAATATGTATATACTACAGAATTGCCAAATCTAGCTAATTAACATATGTAATATCCCACATACTACTCTTTTTATTTGGTAATAGTAATTAAACCCAGGGACACTTTTCCAATATGCTATATCCCCAGATCTTTTTTTACATTTTATTTTGAGATAGGGAGTCACTAAGTTGCTCAAAAAATTGCTAAGGCTGGCCTTCAACTTATGATCCTCCTGCCTCAGCCTCCCAAATCACTGTAGTTACAGGTATGCACCACCATGCCTGGATGCCTGGCTTAACATACTATTGTCTTAGCCATTTTCAAGCATTAAAATTTGGGGTATTTTTGGTTGGGTTTTTTCCTTTTCTTTTCTTTTTAGTTGGAGATGGACACAATGCCTTTACTTATTGGTTTTTATGTAGTGCTGAGGATAGCACCCAGTGCCTTGCACATGCTAAACAAGAGCTCTACCACTGAGCTACAGCCTCAGCCCCTAAAATACATTGTTATTAACTAGAGTCACTATGTTGTAAAACTTATCTCTTAAACATATTCTTTCTGTCTAAATGAAAATTTATGTCCTTTAACCAACATTTCCTCATCCCCTCACTAGGATGTATTCTTATTTCAATAAATTATATCATGCTTATAATCCCAGTTATTCAGGAGGTTAAGACAGAAGGATCTTGAGTTTGAGGCCAGCATGGGCAACACAGCAAGACCCCATTTGAAGAAAATAAAATCTTATTACTATATAGCACATACAAAGTATATTGCCACATAGCTTATACAGATGTTCTCTCAGTTATCCATTCTTCATCTATTCAAAGTGAGGGTATACAATGCCTATAAAAAAAACACTGAAATTCAGTGAAAATCTGAATTTTTGAAACAAAATTGTGATCATGTTGCAGGAAGTAGGAATTATTTCTAAATGGGGTCAGGTTAAATTGACAGTGAAAATGGAAATATCTTAAGCAGACTTTAGAAAACTTGAAAAGAGGTCTCACTGAGGGTGATGATACAATTCTTCCTATTCTATGCCCACAGATAAGAACAACATGTGAGTTTAAAAACTTCTTTGAGCTCTGAATTGATAATAAGCTACTATCACTGATGAACTCAACCTAATTATATTTTAAGATTGGGAGCCATCTTGTCACAAAGTCATGAAAAGTTAATCTCTGTTTTATTATAAATTACTGTAATTTCTAAATTTGTTTGTAATTCCTGTACCTTGAACTCACCCAAGCCTTGCTTTCCCTGACCAGATAACAACACCCTCTAAAATCTCAGTGGTGCCTCATAAATCCTGACTCCCCCGACCAGGTAACAACCCTCTCTGAAACCTCAATGGTGCCTCATAAATTCTGATGTTGGGATCTGAATTTACTCCCTACCTTGAAATGTCATGCCATGTAGATCATTAACCTGCTATCTGCCTTTGTATTATGCTTGTCAAAATCCTGTTCTCTGTAAGTTCTCAAGACACCCCCCTTTGCAACTTTTTGTGCTATAAAATCGTGTTCCTGGAAAGCTGGGGGAATGATCTCTAGCCTGGGGTTTTCGGGAGAGAGAGTCCTGGCCAGCTCCAGTGTACACAAATACAAGCTTGCTTTAATTTGATTCAAAATTGGAGTCAGTGGTCTTTTCTTCGCATCATAGTTTAACAGCCACTATGCTACAAACACACAATCCTACATCTTCTCTGCTTTCTGATGCTGGAGCTGACAATGAAAATTATTTCTTTGTTTTCCAGCTGACTTCCTTTGGGGATGCCCAATAGTGGGTACCAGATGAAAGCCAGAAGAAAAAGTCAAGCAGGCACTGCTTCCCTATTCTTATTCTTTTCTATACTTACCATTGACATTGCCCCTACAACAATTCTTAATTAAAGAAATGGCAATTGATTTCTGTCCTTTATTCAGTTTTGGCAGTCCCAGAACCAGTCTGTTCCCAGCTAGTCAGCAATACCAGTACCAGCTGAGCAATGCTCCTTCTTCAGAGTTTCTAGAGGGTTAGAGGGCCTATTCTCCGAACATCTTGATTCTGATACTTGCAATTTTTTCCCCTTGTTCCCAAAGCCTCAAGGAAGGTAACTTTCATGAAGTCACTATCTCTGTACTATCTGTATGTCCCACCTTTGCTTTTTCAGTTCTCTAATATCTGTTTAATAATTTCCTAGTATTACATTGTCTTTTAATATCTAGTATGGTTTTAGTTTGCCTTGACTGGACCTTGACTGATACATGCTCACAATTAAATAGTTGATGTAGCTCACCAGCAGAACATTTGCCTAACATGTAGGAGGCCCTGGGTTCAATCCCTAGCACCATGGAAAGAAAAAGAAAAAGAAAACATTGCTACAAGGTATTTGAAAATTTGAAATATGTGTATTTGGGGGTGCTGTAAATCAAACGTAAAGCCTTCCATATATACCGCTGAACAATATATACTCCTAGTAGTAAAATGTTCTGTAAATGGAAATTTTCTTTAAAAACTGTAGTACTCCATTTATATCAATATGCTTTTAACATTTCTTATCAAATTAGCAGTACTCAATAGCATTATAAAATACAACTTCAGAGTACATTTAATTATCTGGAAGTATCATTTATCACTAATTCATTACCTCTAACATATTTCTCTCAGAGTTAAATCTGTGGGTATTATCCATACCTTTACAATTGCTTTCACTTTGAAAAATCACATATATTCTTACATTCACGTTCTAAATAATGTGATTTATAAGACATACCCTGAAATTCTTTGTCTCCAATTTCTATATGGATCATATAAACTTTCACAAAATGCCAATGCATGGATCACAAATTCTTCAATTGATGTCTGATCGGCCATTTCCTTCTCTTTTTTTTTGCTTTTTAACTGAGAATAAAGTTAAACATAAAATTAGACATGTTTCATTCACCATCTAACAATAAATCATTTTTATTCAAATAACTTCCTTTTGAGGCAAAAGGGGTCATTTAATCATATAGACTACATATACCCTCTCATAATTTAAATTTTTCCTAGTATATGTTTAAAATAGCCAATCCTCTTTTGAGAAAAATTATGTTTTCAATAAGATATTTAGTAGCTAAATACATAAATACATCAAATTCACAAACTGGGTCATTTTAAAAAGCCATTTACAAAACACTTTAATTTGTTAAGTTAAAATAACATAACAGCTACTTGTATACATTTAAACTAGTATGTATAAGATTTCTGAAATATTTACTACCCAATGATAATTTAAATTCTCTTCTCAACTATTACATCCTATGAAAACATTTAATTACATTAATTATAATTTTTAAAAAAAGTCTCAATAAGTACCAAAAAGGAATAACATATTAGTTCACACCTACTTGCTGAATATAGAGTGTTGTCATGGTGATAACATGATTAATATAAGAGCATGTTCCAATTTCTTCCACATTTGATAGATTTCTATGACAAAAAAAATCATATTATTATTACACTTGAAAGGTGAACAAAATGTGTACTAAGCTTGAATTTTGAGGACAGATATGGGTAACAAACTACAACTGATACTTATTAAAACATAAAATCAACATAGTTATATAACTCTTTTCCCACAAATGTAAAATACACCTCAAGAACCATTAATTACTATCAACAGAAAATGTTTAAGATAGCAAATATTATATAAGACCACAATTTCTCAGACAAGTAGACTTGTATCTACTTATAGGAAAATTAAACAAAACCACAAATTAGAACCAGAAGGAAAAAAAAAAAATCACCAATATTCTTTTTTTTCTCTTTTTAGTACTGGGAATTGAACCCAGGGGTGCTGAAACTTTTTTATATATTTTTTTTTCATTTAGAGACAAGGCCTCACTGAGTTGCTTAGGTCCTCACTAACTTTATGAGGCTGGCTTTGAACTCAGGATCCTCCTGCCTCAGCCTCCTGAGCTGCTGGGATTACATGCATGCACCACAATGCCTGGCTGACCTATATTCTTATAATCTGAACATAAGCAATTATTTCAATCTAGATTATTTATTTAAAGGTTGTATTTTCCCTACACAGATTATTAGTTTAGATTTTGTATATATAGTGTCACCATTATACCACATGTTGCTTTATAGGTTTCACTTTGCTTTTTTAATTATAATTCCCTTTTCATTCTTGTATTTCCTCAACTACATTAAAATTCCTCAATAGAAGGATTACTGGCATATTTACATACTCTAAGAGACTATAATTTCACATCCTGTTTAAAGCAGGTCAGTAAGTGATTGATATTTAATTAAAATATGGCCCTGATTTTATTCCATTTTTATAAGACTGAAGTACGACATATGCTAATATTTACTACATCTGAAGTTTTTTTGCATAATTTTCAGAGTAAAGTTCATTCATTTTCTGTACCACTGGGACTTCATAAAATACATTTTAAAATCCAGGGCTGGGGTTGTAGCTCAGTGGTAGAGCACTTATCTAGCACGTGTGAGGCAATGGCTTCTATTCTCAGCACCACATATAAAGAAATAAAGTTCTATCAACAACTAAAAACTATATAAAATAAAGAAATAAATAAAAGTAAAGTCCAGTAAATGTCCTAGGCTCAGTGGTGCAAACCTGCAATCCCAGTGGCTCTGGAGGCTGAGACAGGAAGATCACAAGTACAACGCCAGCCTCAGCAACTTAGTGAGGCCCTAAGCAACTTAGTGAGATCCTGTCTCAAAATAAAAAATAAAAAGGACTGGAGATGTAGCTCAGTGGAAACTGCCACTGGGTTAAATCCCCAATGCCATCCCCCTCCCCCCAAAAAAATCCAGTAAATGCTAAGGGAACAGAAAAAAATTAATTAAATTAACAGGTTTCTTAATGCAAAAAGTCAGACCAGCATGTCATCTTGGCTGTTTCTCCTCTTGTTAATGATACTAGAAAATTTTAAAGTTTACATGTAACTCACATTATATTTCCAATACTTATAACCAATAAGCACATGAAAAAATGTTCAACATCATGGGCCTTGAAAAATCACATGCAAGTCAAATCATAATGAGATACCACTTCATGCCAACTAATAAACCTGTAATGAAAAAGATAAATGGATAAAATGATATATCCATGATGGATTATTATATAGCCACAAGAAGAAATGAAGTATCAATGTATTCTACAAAATGGATGAACCTTGAAAATATTATGGTAAGTCACAAAGGACCACATAATATATAATTTCATTTCCTTGAAAAATTCATTTTGATGAAACAGAAGTAGATAAGTGGTTACCAAAGGATGGAGACACAATGAATGGGGAGTGATACCAATGAGTACTGAGAGTTTCCTTATAAGCTCATAAATATGTTCTAAATATGTTTAAAACCAATGAATAATACTTTATTATTTTCTTTCAGTAACCAGGACCTCAGACATGCTATTCAAGCAGTAAGCTATATCCCCAGTCCTTGTTGAGACAGGGTCTTGTTAAATTGCCTCAAACTTGCATTCTTCCTCCCTCAGCCTCCCAAGTAGCTAAGTTTAGACATGTGTGCCACCACACCTGGCAAAAACCACCAAATAATACATTTAAGTGGATGACTTGTATGGTATGTTAATTATCTCCTAATAAAGCTTATATTAAAAAGTGAATATGGGATGTGGGGATAAGAAAGATAGTAGAATGAAACAGACATTATCACTTTATGTATATATGTGACTATGACCAATATGATATCCTTCAATATGTATACTCAGAAAAACGAGAAATTATACACCATCTATGTATGATATATCAAAGTATATAAGCGCATTCTACCATCATATATAACTAATTTAAACAAATAAAAAGTAATTTTTTAAAAAAAGTTAATATGGGCTGGGGTCATGGCTCTGCAGTAGAGCGTTTGCTGAGCGCTTGCCTAGCACATTCGAGGCCCTGGGTTCAATGCTCAGCACCACATAAAAATAAATAAATAAAATAAAGGTATTGTGTCCAACTACAACTAAAAAATAAATATTAAAAAAAGTGAATATAACATTTTACACACAGTTAAAGCTGAATTAGTGGCTGGGCACAGTGGCGCACACCTGTAATCCCAGTGGCTCAAGAGGCTGAGACAGGAGGATTCCAAGTTCAGGACCAGCATCAGAATAGAAGTACTTTAGATTAAACAAAGGGGAATGAAGGGGAGAGAGGGGGGAATGGGAATAGAAAAGACAACAGAATGAACTGGACATTAATATACTATGTGCATATATGATTACATGACCAATGTAATTCCATATCATGTACAACCAGAAGAATGAGAAGTTATACCCCATGTTTGTATAATATGTCAAAATACATTCTACTATCATGTGTAACTAATTATAACAAACAAAGACCATCCTCAGTTCATGGCCAAATCCTATCTCAAAAAATACAAGACAGACACGGTGGTGCATATCTGTAATCCTAGCTGCTCAGAAGGCTGAGGCAGGAGGATGGCAAGTTCAAAGGCAGCCTCAGCAATTTAGTGAGGCTCTAAGTAACTTGGCGAGACCTCTTCTCAAGATATAAAATAAAAAAGAAGGGCTGGGGAAGTGGCTCAAGCGGTAGCGCGCTCGCCTGGCATGCATGCGGCCAGGGTTCAATCCTCAGCACCACATACAAACAAAGATGTTGTGTCCGCCGAAAACTAAAAAATATAAATAAATATTAAAATTCTCTCATTCTCTCTCTCTCTCTCTCTCTCTCTCTCTCTCTCTCTCTCAAAAAAAAAAAAAAAAAAAAAAGGTGGGATTCTGGGGAGGTGACTCAGTCGTTGAACACCCCTGGGATCGATACCTGGTACTAAAAAATTAATAAATAAATAATATGAAAGTCTGGGATGCACCTCAATGGTTAAGTGCCCCTGGGTTCAATCCCTGGTATCAAAAAAAGGAAAACAGAAGTACGCCTAAGGTTCTTAGTGAACCTAATTTAGGGGTGAACTATTTTAGCAATTATTGCTCAATCATTTTATAATTTTTGCAATGAAAGGCAATAAGCAACTAAGTCAAAGATGACTAAAAAGTTAAATATTAAGACCATATTCATTGGGCTGGGGATGTGGCTCAAACGGTAGCGGGCTCGCCTAGCATGCATGCGGCCCGGGTTTGATCCTTAGCACCACATACAAACAAAGATGTTGTGTCCGCCGAAAACTAAAAAATAAATAAATATTAAAATTCTCTCTCTCTCTCTCTAAAAAAAAAAAAAGAAAGAAAGAAAAAAAAAGACCATATTCATCTATTAACTATAAAATATAAAACAGCCAGGGACGGTGGCATACACCTGTAATCCCAGTGACTCAGGAAGCTGAGGCAGGAGGATCATTAAGTTCAAAGGCTGCCTCAGCAAGGTGCTAAGCAACTCAGTGAGACCCTGTCTCTAAATAAAATATAAAATAGGTCTGGGGATATACTCAGGTGCCTCTGAGTTCAATTCCCAGCACCCGCCAAAAAAAATTTATATATGCACACACACATAAAAAATGGAAGAAATTATAGAACATGGATAACAAAAAAAGGGCAGATTTCAAATGGCACATTATGCTCCTAACTTAACAGCTTTATAATTCTTATGTGCAGATTAGTGTGGAATTTTTGAAAAATCCGGATGTTTAAGCCCTTTTGAACCAGAAATTTCATAAGCAACATTCAAGCTTCATTTCTACTAAGCTTTCCAGTTGATACTTACAGTACACCAAAATTTAAGTACCACAAACCTAATCTATAAATCTGGAAAATAGGATAACCTGTAGGATAATTGTACTTTGCTGATAAACTGATAAAATGGAAGTTAAAAGATATTTTCACAGGCTGGGGCTGGGGCTCAGTGGTAGAGCACTCACATGGCACGTGTGAGGCACTGTGTTCAATTCTCAGCACCACATAAAAATAAAATAAAGGTATTGCGTCCACCTACAACTCAAAAAATACATATTTTAAAAAAGTACTTTGTGGGGCTGGGGTTGTGGCTCAGTGGCAGAGCACTTGCCTCACACATGTGAGGCAGTGGGTTCGATCCTCAGCATCACATTAAAGATGAATAAGCAAAATAAAGATATTGCATCCATCTATAACTAAAACATATTTTTTTAAAAAAAGTACTTTGTTAAAAAAGAAAGATATATTTTCACAAATACAATGCATAGTAATAAAAATGTGTATACATTGGCTCAGGGTGTGGTTCAGTGACAGAGCACTTGCCTAGCATGCATGAGGCCCTGGATTCAATCCCCAGCACCGGTGGGGAAACAAAAAAATAGTGTGTTTCATTAACAGCTGAGTCACAAAGAAAATACTGGTGTTATCATTTCTTTCTGAACTAAAAACTCCTGTCATTGTCTTTACTCTAAAGCAAACCTTTGAAATTCCTGAGTGTCTCTTTAAAGATCCAAACAAACAATAAATATTATTAGTAATAAATACATTATTATTTTGGTAATAATTACTTTAAAACAGATCATTGGTGTTTTTTGTTTTTGTACCACATACCTGCAAAGAATAATAAAGAATTTGACAAGTAAAAGTGATAAGGCTTGTTGTTGCTCCTCTAACCCATCTGCCATTTTCTGAACACATTGTAGCAGCTGGATCCTCAGAACCTGCAGAATATTGTCAGGAAGCAGAGATATTCCTGGAGGCACATCATCTACCCTACAATATAAGGGGTACAAAACAAAAGGAGGGTTGAAAGAAAGGAAGAAAATTCTAGCACTGAAATGAACTCCATTTTCATTCATCCTAAAGAATTTTTTAAATCCTTTCCAGATACTATATGCTTTCTTGTCCTAAAGAACAACCAAATGACTCACAACTACAAGATTATTAGAGTAGAATGATTAGTCTTATTTCAGGGGAGATAGACTCTATTTTCAATCATTCTTATTTTAAAGAAAATATTTAGAATATAAATTAATCAGCTTTCTACTTAGAAATATTATGCATATGTATACTATTTATTTTGGGGTTTCTTGTCAGTGTTATTTTGGGGGGCACTGGAGATTGAATCTAGGGGTGCTTTACCACTGAGCTACATCCCTGGTTCTTTTCTTTCTTTTTCATTCATTCATTCATTTATTTTTAAATTTTATTTTATTTTACTTTATTATTTTTGCTACCAGGGATTGAACCTAGGAATGCTTAACTGCTGAGCCACATCCCCAGCCCTCCTTTTTATTTTTTTTAAATTTTGAGACAGGGTCTCGCTTAGTTGTCGAGGCTGACCTCAAACTTGTGATCACCTCCTCTCTCAGCCTCCTGAGTCACTGGGAGTATAGGCTGGTACCACCATGCCCAGTTTGTATGTATACTATTTCTAAAAGAAACAATAACCAGTGAACAAAAATGAAGTACTTATTCATTTAATATTTGTCATCTGTTTTACTGAACACTAATGACATTATTATAGACTCATCAAGCCATGTGATCAGAGAAAATATTTTAAAAAGATAAATGAACATCACAAGCATAAGCTTCATTTTTTAATGTCATATAAAAATATTCTGTTACAAATTACTTCTGTGTAAGAAGTCTATGTAATTCTTTAAAGGCAAAATTTAACACAAGATGTGAGTGGCTTCTCTGGTGTGTGTCTCACAATAAAAACATATACCTAGATTCAAAGTCTAAAGGCCTGGACACTAAATTCCACCTCTGTAACGTGGAGTTGGTCATATGATCTCTGAATTTCCCGAATTATAAAATTTTAATATCTTCTTGCCCTATTTTACTGAATTCTGAAACCAGAAAGTCAATATGCATTTTTGCTGTGAAATATGTTAAGAATTATTAAAATCTAATATATTTTAAACATACTATCACTAAAGCCTAAGAATCTTTTCATAAGCTACTGTATACTAATTTCTCCACCTCTATTAAGAAGAATAGAGGTGGAGAAATTATTTATTACTCAATAAAGTAAAGAACTATGATTAAGGGAGGGGGGATAGTAGAGGATAGGAAAGGTAGCAGAACACGACAGTCACTAGTATGGCAATATGTAAATCAATGGATGTGTAATTGATGTGATTCTGCAATCTGTATATGGGCTAAAAATGGGAGTTCATAACCCACTTGAAGCAAAGTGTGAAAGATGATATATCAAGAACTATGTAATGTTTTGAACAACCAACAATAAAAAAAAATTAAAAATTAAAAAAAAAACAAACTATGATTAAATGACAATTGTAATTTGTAACAGTTTTTTTTATAGATAATGTTTAATATGAAGTATTACTAGTAATTTACACTGAGTAAAAGGCTATTTGATCTACTGTTGACGGAAAAATCTGAAGGACATCACCACCAGGAGTCACACAAATACATAAATAAATACAATATAATACATAATTTACACATTTATGATTTATATAACATATAAATAGATATATAATATCATCTTTCTGAATCACCCCACAACATAAATTAACAAAGTGATTTTATAAAATGAACAACTAATTTTAACTAAATTATACAGAAAGTAAAACCACAAAGCTCATTACAAAGATGCCCAAATTCTATAAACATGTTATAAAAATATCACATTTCATTTTAGTTTAGAAACTACCTCACTTGTAGCTTTGGATTCTTTCACTCTCATATGCTGAAGAGTTAAAAGGAGGTACTTAGTAAAAACAGTAACTTCAAAATAATAAACAAATATTTAAATGCAATTTTAAATACTACTTAAATCATTTGTCTCCTTTTTCTAAAAACATGTCAACAACAAAGAAAACATTAGATTTTTTCTAATATTCCATAATAGCATTAAAAAGTATTTCCTTGTCCTAGGTCACCCCAGTCTTTATCTGCATATTCTTTAAATAAATAACTAGACAGTCAAGAATAATCGGCTTTGAGGGCTGGAGATGTAGCTCAGTAATGTTAGAGCACTTGCCATATGCACAGGCCCCCATACCATGCACATATAAAATAGAATAATTAGGGCTGGAGGTGTGGATCAGTGGTAAATTACTTGCCTAGCATGCATAAGGCTTTGGGCTCAACCCCTAGCAAAACACACACACAGACACACAATAATTAACTTACAGGAAAGAGAAATATATGGATTTTTTAAAAATTAGCTTTAATTATAAAATTAGTACTGGGTTAGAACATGACTTACAAAGTTGAAATTTTTGTTTGCACTCCTAATATGATGAGCATTTAAGAACCTGGAAGCATTTTCCTACCTTTAGAAATTCTATGCTCTGAAAATTTGTTCTCTGTGTGTGGCTACTGAATACCTACTATAAACAGTTGCAAATGATTCTGTCTAACATTTCAAGAAGACTGCCTTGCCAGGCGCAGTGGCGCATGCCTGTAATCCCAGCGGCTTGGGAGGTGAAGGCAGGAGGATCATGAGTTCAAAGCCAGCCTCAGCAATTTTGTGAGGTGCTAAGCAACTCAGTGAGACCCTGTCATAGGGCTGGGGATGTGGCTCAGTGATCAAGTGCCCCTGAGTTCAATCCCTGGTACCAAAAAAAAAAAAAAAAAAGACTGCCTTAAAGTTTTTTCAAAGCTTTATGTAATAATGGTAAAGGCATTCCCTACGTTACATTATAAATTTTCTAACTCAAAAATTCTATAGTCAGTTTCCTTTAAATGAGTTTTATTCTATTTTATTTTATTAATTTATTTTATTTTATTAAATGAGTTTCCTACCTTTAAGATGACTTTATTTTATTCAATGTCTTACATAGTCTACACTTGAAATTTTGAATGTTTTGTATCAATAAACTCTAAATTTGGGCTGGAGATATAGCTCAGTGACAGAGCACTTGCCTAGCATGTACAAGGTTCGATCCTTAGCACCGCATAAAAAACTAGACAAATAAAGACATGCTGTCCATCTATAACTATTAAAAAAAAGCTTTTTTTAAAAAGCCTCTAAATTCATCATTCAGCTTTTTCACACAAATATAAGACACAATTTCAAATAAACCAATCACATTATAAATAGAGCAATGCTCTTAGCATTCCATATCTTTAATTAAACACAATGGCAATATAAGTATACATCATGCTTTTGGAAATGATCTGCCAATAAATAAGCAAATAAATAAATAAATAAAGACATGTTATGAATAAGTAGCAGCCTACTTTAGAAACTTGAAAAGCCTCATTCCAAAATTCCAAATATTCAAAAGCCCAAATCCTACCTAACTGTATAAAAACCTATGTCCATGATTTAAAGTGAGCTGAAAATTATTAAAATAAAAGTACTACTCTTTTTTACTTTCTTTTTTTCAGTTCTAGGGCTAAGCCCAGGGCCTTGCACACGCTAGACAAGGGCTCTACCACTGAGCTATATTCCCGGTCCTTAAAAACAAAAGTACTTATAAGCACGAACAATAAGAATATTCTTTTATTGGTAGAAAAACTGCATAACCTTATTTTGAAGACACCTCAAGATTTAATATTTTTCAGCCTTTATAAACCTATCACACATAATATTCTAATGCAAACAAAATCATGCAGTGGATGAATTTATAAATAATAAATTGTGAATTTTTATAAATAATAAATGATTAGTCCTTTCTTTGCATAATCTTAATTTTCTTGAGTTCATGTCTTGGTGCCAAGCTCTAAGGTTTCTTCTCTGTATTATCATAATTACCTCTTTCCTTCAAGTCTCAACCCTCACCAAATCAACCTCTATAATATGCCACCAAAGTGACTTTTGAAAACAAAGTTGATTGTGGTATTCTCACATAGAAAAGTTTTTAATCGCATTCTTATTATTCATAACAACAATAAAATCAAATACATCAGTATTGCACGCATGGTATTTCATGATTTGGCCCCTAGGGCTAGGGCTACAGCTGGCGGGTAGAGTACTTACTAGCATACACAAGGCTCTGGGTTTGATTCCCAGCACTATAGAGAGAGGAAGGAAGGAAAGGAAGGAAGGGAGGGAAGGAAGGGAGGGAAGGAAGGGAGGGAAGGGAGAGAAGGAAGAGAGGGAAGGAAGGAAGGAAGGAAAGGAGGGAAGGAAGGAAGGAAGGGAGGGAAGGAAGAAAGGGAAAGAAGGAAGGGAAGGAGGAAGGGAAGAAAGGAATGGAAGGAAGGGAAGAAGAAAAGGGGGGTAAGAAAGAAGAGAAGGGAGGGAGGGAAGAAGGAAGGAAGGGAGGGAGGGAGAGAAGGAGGGAGGGCGGAATTATGAGATTTGGCTCCCATTTCATTCTACAGACTCCTCCTGGCCACCAAAAAGTGAGCTGCCCTGCCCTTTAGCCATGATGTACTGTCTCACCTTGGGCCCAGGACAGTGGACTCAGCTGTCAATGGACTGAGACCTCTGAAACTATGAGTTCCAAATATATTTTCCCTCTTCTAAGTTGTTCCTGTCAGGTAATTTGGTCACAGTGATGCAAGACTAAAACAAAGTGAGGCTATAGCTCAGAGGCAGAGTGCTTGCCTAGCATGTGTGAGGCACTGGGTTTGATCCTTAGCACCACATAAAAATAAGCATAAAATAAAGGCACTCTATTCATCTACAATTACAAAAAAAAAAAAAACAATTTAAGAATGCTGAATTTATAGTCAGAAGCTCCAGTGTCCCCCAAGACTAGTGACTGATATCTAAAATGAGGGCAGTTTTATGAGGTCTTGGCCCTTAATTTGTGAGAGATCTGGTGCTAATATTGGATAGAGTGTTTGAAATTAAGAGAACTGTGGGACACCTAGTGGGTAGTATCTCACCAAAGCAGAGAAGAGGCTTCTTAGAAGCCAGGTCTAATATCAAGAAAGACTGCTGTGATCAATTAGGGATATCTGATGAGAGCAAGATAACAGGATATCAAGAGTGTTAATTGAGTATAATATGTCACCGGTGAAATTTTTGTGTTAAAACAGAAACAATGGGGGCTGGGGTTGTAGTTCAGTGGTAGAGTGCTTGCCTTGCATGTGTGAAGCACGGGGTTCAATTCTCAGCACCACATAAAAATAAATAAACAAAATAAAGGTATTGTGTCCATCTACAACTAAAAAATATATATATTTAAAAAAAAAAAACAGAAATGATGGGCTGGGGTTGTAGCTCAGTGGTAGAGCACTTCCTGGCATGTGTGAGGCATTGAGTTCAATCCTCAGCACCATACAAAAATAAATAAAAATAAAGGTATTGTGTCCATCTACACCCAAACATACACACACCAAAAAAGAACAGGAACTAAAGATAAGAAATTAGTGTTTCTACATACCTGGTAGGCAGTTTTTCAAAGTCAACATCTAAGAATTGTTCATAGCTAGAAACAAAGTTATCCAACCACATCTTCAGGTAATCTGGATCTTTCTGAAATAAGAAAATCAGAATATTAGGTATACTTTTCAGGAAACGTAATGCTTTCACACCCATTAAGTAGATATCTAAAGAAGCAATAATATGAAATCTCTAAGTAGTATTCAGGCAGAGCTATGTGCTATTTTAAAATGTATATTAAGTATAATGATCCCTCAAATTGCTTCCCATGTCAAAGATCTCAAGTATTAAAAATGTCTACCACTAAGTTACATTTCTGGCCCTTCAAGTTACTCTTTCTTTATGAAGTACTGGGGATCGAACCCAGGGTGCTCAACCACTGAGCTACATCCTCAGCAGCCCTTTTTATTTTGAGACAGGGTCTCACTAAGTGGTTGAGGCTAGCCTCAAACTTGCAATCCTTCTGCTTTAGCCTCCCAAATTGCTGGGATTACAGGTATGTGCTACTGTGCCCAGTTTCAAATCATTCTTTAAATGACACATTCTATTTGTGGCAAAAATTCTCACTGTCCTTTACCTTGCCCTATTATTTCCCAATTTCATGGTCCTTTATCATACTCTACAATTCTTATTTATTAGTTTACTGTTTGTCACTTCCCCTAGGATGTAGGTTTAATACTCACAGAGAATATTTATCTTTTTGCTTGCTAGTGGGTACCACATGCCTAAAACAGTGCCTGGTACAAAGCACTCAATTAGTATTTGTCTAATGAATTAAAGGGAAGTGTAAAATGCATAAATAAAATCAAACTGAAAACCTGGAGTGGTGGTACATCTCTGTAATCCCAGCTACTTAGGAGCCGAGACAAGAGGATATCAAGTTCAAGCCCAGCTCAGGAACTTTGAAATACCTTATTCTCTAAATAAAAAATCAAAAGGGCTGGGGATGTAGCTTAGTAGTACAGCATCCCCAGTGTCAGGTTAAAAAAAAATTAAATTTTAAAACAATTCTAAAAATTCAAAAAATAAAAATAAATAAAATAGGATGGGAATGTAGCTCAGTAGTAAGTGTTCCTGGGTTCAATCCCTAGTACCACAAAAAGTAAATAAAATAAAATTTGAAATGGAACATTAATCTAAACATAAAAACTGAAATTAAAACTTTTCAGAAAAAAAAATATGATACCTTTGCCTCTGGAGATAAAAAAAGATTTCTTAGCTAAGACACAAGAATCATGAACCAAAAAAGAAAATTAGTGTTAACTAAAATTAGGGGCTGGAGGTGTAGCTCAGAGATAGTGTGCTCAACCCCCAGCACCAAAACAAATGAATGAATGAATAAATAAACAAATAAATAAATAAGTAAGTAAAAACTACTACTCAGCAGAAGACACCATTAATAAAATGGGAAGCTGGGTTTGGGATGTACCTCAGTGGTAGAAGGTTTGTCTAACATGCATGAGGTCTTGGGTTCAATCTTCGGCACCACACAAACAAACAGAAAATGGAAAGACAAGCCATATGCTTGCTCAAAATACTCTCAAAAGAATTTAAACAATATATGACAACCTCCTAAAAAATAAATTTTAAAAGGACAAACCACTCAATTTTTAAAATGGGCACTTCACAAAAGAAGAAACAAATGGCCAAAGAGCAAACAAAATAGTGCTCAATATCATTAGTTATCTAGAGGAAAAACAAAATTAAAATCAAACGGGAGGGTTGGGGTTGTGTGTGAGACACTGGGTTTGATCCTCAGCACCACATAAAAAATAAAATAATAAAGGTTCAAAAAATACCAAATGGGAGGGGCTCTGGGATTGTGTCTCAGTGGTAGAGTGCTTGCTTAGCAGGTGTGAGACACAGGGTTTGATCTTCAACACCACATTAAAAAAAAATCTATAAAAAAATCAAATGGGATATCACTGCATACACACCCACTAAAATGGCAAAAGTTAAAAAAAAAGTGACAAAAATAAATAAATAAAAAGACTGACAATATCATATGTTAGTGAAGATGTGGAGTGACTTTTTAAATTTCAGATATTACTGGTGGGAGTATAAAATGGTTTAGTTACTTGAAAAACAGTTGGACAATGTCCATCAACTACTCAGTCATTACTCTTCCCTAAAAGTAAAAAGTCATGGGCTGGGGTTGTGGCTCAGCTGTAGAGCTCTTGCCTAGCATGTGCAAGGCACTGGGTTAGATACTTAGCACGACATAAAAATAAATAAATAAAATAAAGATATTGTGTCTGACTACAACTTAAAAATATATATATACATTTAAAAATAAATAAAATAAAAAGTCACAAGAACACTATACAAAAATGCTTATACAAGCTTGATTTTTAACATTCCAAAGCTGCGAACAAAAATTCTATCAACAAGTTAATAGACAAATTGTGGTATATTAATAGAGTGGAATACCATTCAGGAATAAAAATGATTAAAGTGGTTACCCAAATATTTGTATGTATCAAAATTCATCACCTTTGACACTTTACATATATTCATTTTTAAAAATTTTTTAGTTATAGACAGACACAATAATTTTATTGTATTTATTTATTTTTACATGGTGCTGAGGATCAAACACAGTGCCTCACACATGAAAGGCAAGTACTCAACCACTGAGCCACAACCCCAGTCCTAAATATATGCATTTTATGACTTGAAGTGACCTCTCAATAAAACTGAGTGGAAAAAAATATGACACCTCAGAAATTTTTCTTTTAATTTTTTTTTTAGTTGTAGTTGGACACAATACCTTTATTTTATTTATTTATTTTTATATGGTGCTGAGGATTGAACCAGCACCAGAATGTTCCCAGAATGTCCCAGAATATGCAGGGACTGCTGACCTTTTGTGTATCTGTTTTTGTCTATTAATATACTGTTCCAAAATCAGCTTATAAATTACCACTATCTACATCATCACCTAGATATCAGAAGATGGAAATATTTCAGACAAAAAACAATCTCCTGTGACAAATTTTTTCAAGTTTTTTTTTAGTTGTTGATAGACCTTTATTTATTTATATGCGGTGTTGAGAATCAAACCCAGTTCCTCACACATGCCTGGCAAGTGCACTACATGCGAGCCACAGCCCCAGCCCCTTTTCAAAAGTCTTATTATCTGCTTTTTACATTTCCAACTTTAATGTCGTTCATCTATTAATTTATTCACTTATCCATCCCAGAAGAACTCCAGAAATACAAGTATCTGGAGTTTTCCTGACCCCCATCTTTCCTAAAAAGCAGAGGATTACTTCTTGGTAAAAGTTAAACACAAAACAGTCCCACAACAATAAAAAATTAACACAATTCTCTTCATATTTTATTGAGGAACTCTACAGTATCTGGTTCAAATTCTAAAGGTCAGGGCTACTGAGTATTTGACAAGCACAGAGTTCTCCTGAGGATCTGAGAAAATATAAGGAAAGAAATAGTACTGTTTTATTTTCTAAGATGAAAAGCACTTAAAAATGTTAAAACATCTGCCATGTACAAAGTGGTATAGCAGGCATTTTTGCAATATGTCATTTTATTTACTCCTTAAAACTATCCAGAAAAGGTTTACATTCTCCCCATTTTACATGTTACAAAAGGGCCAGTCTAAGGATATATATCTTAGCCAAAATCATACAGCTAACAATTAGCAGTGCTGGAATTAAAATGCAGCATACATGAACCCAATAAGTGCTCTTTCCATTGCACTACACTGTCTTTGAACTGTGTATAAATAAAATGGAGATTTAGTAGGCAAAAATGATAAAAGTGGAATTTAGAATCAGTAAATTCAAGGTACAGAAAAAAAACCAGCCAGCTTCAAAAAACAAACAAAAAAAAAACAGCCAGCTTCAATATAACCTTAAAAAAAGTCCTAAAGGCCACAAAAAAGAAAGATCTCCACTTATTAATTAAATCTCAAATTTAGTTACTTGCATGATTAAGATGAGTTTGGTACACTGAAACACCACAGTATGGACTTTTTCTCCCCATCTATATAATCTTTAGGAATATAACACATAAATATGTTAAGTAGTACAGGAATGCTGGCGCCAATTCAGTTTTACCTGGACTTTAACCCCTGATATTACCTTCATGAACAAGTCACCCTATGTTTTCACATTAATTTCTTCTTCTATAAACATAATGGGCTGGGGGTGTAGCCCAGTAGAAGCGCAGTTGCCTAGCATGCACAAGGTCCTGGGTTCAATTCCCAGCACAGCAAAAAAGTACACAATGATATTACCTATTTTACAGGATTGGTTTTGAAAATTAAATAACCTGATACCTGTAACAGGGCTTACAACAATGCCTAGCATACAAGTATATTCTCAATAAGTGTAAATTAATATTATCTTCATAACCAATTTTGGATCAAAATTAGAACTTCTACAAATGGAAATGTTTTATGTCATACATATTTTACTATTTCAAGATCCCCCATTCTAGCTGACTTAAGTGTTATTGTTTTCCTCTTAAATCTCTTTGCCTTTACTATTTGTGTGACTATGGGAAGGTTCCCTACCTAACTTCTTTGAACTATTCTTCACCTAAAAATGAAGATAATATTTCTTACCTCACAGAGTTGTTGAGAGTACTAAATAAAATAATACACATAAAGTATTGAGCAGTACCTGGCACTTAAGCATTCAAAACATATTGGCTACCAAAATCAATACTACAATATAGACTCTGCCATCAAGTTTTTAGTCATTATGAATAATTTCTCCAAAAATAAAAATTTCTTTATATGAACATGACTAATAGAAAGATTTGCAGAGGGAAGACTTTTTTTTTTTTTAGTCTAAGTTGCAGAAATTGACCTTAAACTTGGATCCTCCTGCCTCAGCCTCCAGAGCAGCTGGTATTACAGGTATGTGCCACAAGGCCCAGCTACTAAAAGATAGTTACATTCAATCCCGCTTCCAGATTCTTAATTAAGAATATATCCAAATGCAGACTGTACTTGTGCTATTCATCCTAAGAATATAATGGTAAGTAATTCAAATTAAATCTATTCCTTAATACTCACCACTTCTGATACATAGGTATTCCCTAAAACAAGTGAACACACAATAAAT